AAAGTAAATGAATTGAAATTACATATTCTCTGTTGAGAGTGTTTGATTCGGGGTCCTCTCCTTCTATGCCTTCTTTTCCTTTTATACTACTTTACCGGTTTTCTCTTGTAGAACTGCTTGGAAACTGTCGAGATTCTTGGATCGTGGGATGCAACAAGGTTGTTCAATAACCGCTTCAATAACTGAACAAAACACTATATTCATTCAGACCTTGGGCGTCTCAAAGGCTTGGGCGAGAGTGAGACCGTCGTTCTGAGCGATGATAGGGCACTCCATTCGCTCAGATCCTGAGCGTTCTATAGGATTGGGCGATGATAGTCCTCTGCTCGTGGGATGTCACTATATTTTACAATTGTCTCATTTGGGTCCATTCCTCAATTTTCCTAACTGGACTCCATTCCTTAGACCACATAATTGGGCCTTACTTAATAATTGGGCTTTATTTAATCATTGGACCTTATTTAATCATCCTCATTTAATCATTGGGCCCTATTTAATTGGGCCTCTTTTTTGTTTGTCAACAATTACATATACTTCATGTAGAATGATCATAAATCATCACTATCAATAACATTACTTGCAGATTCAAATAGAGTTAAATGGTTAGATTTCCAAGAGAAACTCAAGAAAGCAAAATCATGATGTCACTAGAAATGACAACCATGCAGACTGACCTAATAGGACGGGAATCACCAAAAAAATGCGTGGTATTTCGCCATTTCAAGATGACACTTGTACCCGGTATTGAATTGATTAAAATTTTAATTTTAATTTAAATTAAAGTTAACAATTAATTTTAATTCATCATTTTTTATTCACATATTTCATCATTTTTTTAATTAAAAAATTATTTAAAATTTTATTTTAATTCCCAGAGGCTTGAAATATAGATGATTAAGCTAAGAAAAAAAAATGTCGATAGATGTACAAAAATGTCAAGACATTAAGAACTGCACATGTAATTTGCCCTAACTTTACTTCAATCCAAACTGTTTTAGGCCCACTATAGTCTATTGACCAACCAACGCACAATTTTGCACTTCTAATTTGGGTTACATACTATTTAATACTAGCGATGACGATAAGCAATGGCGGGCCCAGCATTGAAGTTCAGTCCCAACGGACATTGACCGGTCAATGTCGATAATCAGCGATCGCAAGAACGATGTCGTTTATTAATA